ATGAAAAATAAAAAATTCTTGATTTTACATCTTCTGTATTTCGTATTAATATAACGAAGCTGAAGAACATATGTGAGTTCCACATTTTAGCCCCAAAGGGGCTGCGCTAACAAGCTTTTTTTTACATACTTTGCTTGCACATATCGGTGTATCAAAAGTGATAATCACTCATTACACATGGCTCACATCAATAGAAAGCAAACATGATTGCTTCGTCGGTGATTTTTTTCTGTTTCCTCCTCACATTATTTTTTTCGTTATTCGGTGTATATGTGAGAGAGACAGAAAAAATATCTGACAAATACGCTAGTCAAGCAAATCATTTCTACACCATCGTGCAAAGCATTGTTTGAGTCAGTATTTTTTGTTGAAGGATAGTGAGCAATAACAAATGACTGAGACGAAACCTTTGCTAGTCACCTCCGACAAATCATTTGGCGATGATGATGAAGTGAGCAATAAACAATGAGCGGGCCACCAGAAGGCAATTGCCCCACCTAAAAAATATACCAGTGGCATATATACATATATAATTGAAATATATTAGAATAAAATATAAACTGCTTATTCAATTAGCTGTGAAAAAACTTTAGAAACAGCATCATGCAAGCTATGAATTGTGACACTATCTAGCGGACAGTAATACTTATTTGTTGAAATCTAAGTCTGCTAAGGACCAATAAGAATCGCTTACTCAAAAGGAATGAAATGAATCAGAATCAGCTGTTTCCTTTAATGCTGTTTCTTTATCTGATTTGAGAGTGCATTAGTTATCATATTTACCTTCTCAAAATAACTTATTCACCTATAAATAAAAGTATATCACCTATATTTAAGTTATCGTTAGAAGTAGACATTTTAACAGTTTTTTTTAATTGGCAGTAGAGCCACAAGCCCAATGAGACAGTTAAAACTTTAATTGTGGAACTTTGCTCTCCTCCAGATTTGAAAATATCCGTTAGTGAATTTCTAGAATGAAAAATCCTTTGACAAACTATTTTAAAAAGAAAGAGAGAAATATTGCTGAAGAATCAGCAACATCATCTATTATGGCAACAGAGGAAGAACAAATAGATTAAGATGAAGGCGAATTATTTTCTCGTAAACGGTTGAAGATTGATCAAAACAGTGATTCAACAACAACAATATGTTCAACATCATGTAACACGAGAGATCCTTATAATAGCCCAGCAGCAGTCAAAGAATTTCTTTTTTCAGGACCATATCAACCTGCTTTAAAATTTCCAACAAATAATAGCCGTCATTCTTGTCGAAAAATGGGACTGTATTTATCCATGGTTAGAATATCGTGAAACTAAAGATCGTGCTTTTTTTCGTATGTTGTTTATCCTTTGGAATTGGTAAAACAGAAGAATACTTCACTCTAACTGGTTTTAACAGTTGAAAAAATGAACCTGATAGGGTAACCATCCTAAATCTTCTATTCCTCACAAAGAAGCTTTGCTACATGAGGAAATATGAAAAAAAATTCTAGCAGCAATACTGATGTTTTAAAAATATTAGACAAGCAACATGCTAATGAAGCTGCAGACAATCAATCATATTTAATTGAAATAATAAGAACAATTGTGTTTTTAGCTAGACAAGGCGTGGCATGTAAGTTGCTCAAATATTATCATCATTTATCCTTTTCATTGTCAAAATGTGATGTGAAGTTTTTATCACATAATTTTCCTATTTTTCTAGTTCGTGGTCGTTATGAGAACGATGAATCACTTAACAGAGGAAATTTTCTAGAACTACTTGAGTTGAGAAGTATAGATAATCCATTAATTACGAAACATCTGAAAAAATTAAAATTTACTGATTATAAAACTCAAAATGAAATAATTGATTTAGTTCGACAAGAAGTATCAAATGGAATTTTAAATAATAGTGAGCGTTCTAAATATTTTTCTGTGATGGTAGATGAAACAACAGACATTACTACAGTGCTGATCAAAATTCCCTAACCACCCTGAACTATAATCATTTTAGAAGGTAGACAGCTGAGATTTTGTGTACGTATACTCTATGACAAACGCTGATCATGAGTGCCACTTGTGCCAAAATTGCTATTGTTAGAATGGAGTTATAATAAACTCCCCCCAGAATAGAAGGCCACCCCATATTAGAAGGCCACCCCCATTAGAAGGCCACCCTGAGTTATATCTGCAAAAGTCATATTAGAAGGCCACGACTTTCTAATAAAATGTTTGGATATTACATAAATATGCGGTGGGAGTTTTATAAATATCTTAGCATTTTGAGAGATCATGCATGATATCC